TTTAGAAAAGAGATATAGTGGCTCAAGTGATAAAGCTGTAACTTTCCAAAGAGGTATCCGGGTTCGATTCCCCCCAATGGCTGGTCGAAACGAATCTGTACCAGCTCTTACAGACCTGAGTGCTCACTTAAAATACCCACTGCAGTAGAGGGATCTTAGAGTACCCTTGCCGTCAGGCTAACCGTGTAAGGGTTTCATGGTTCCCCTTTCCATATAACGCAAATGCAAAATAGTTTCATAAAAAAAGTCCTCCAAAAAGACAAATTTCGCCCAATACTTAATCCAGGAGCTCCCTTGTCATCTGGATTGGGTTCAAAACTACATGGTTACGGAGTTGAACATTAGTAGTCATAAACTCAAAATTAGATTGGCTGCTCAACGACAGTTGTAAAATAAAATCATTTTATCAGCACCCGGATCGCACTGACCACAGTGCTGACGAAAAATATCCTCACTGGTAGATGGATCATGGGTTAAGAATCCTTTTGCCGTCAGGCTAATCATGGGAGGTTTTCTTGGTCTTCCTCTCCATGTAACGCAAATAAGGGTTTGTTTAACCAAAAAGTCCTCCACGAAGGCCAATTTTCTCTAAATAATTGATCTAGAAGTTCCCTTGTCGTCAGAATTGGGTTCAAAATTACAAGGGTACAGAGTTGAACACTAGTAGCCGTAAACTCAAAATTGAGTCGGTTGTTTTATGACGGCTGTAAGATAAAATCATTTGAGCACGAAAAAAGATTTCTTTGATGAATTCTACTAATAACTAACAAGTAGGAATAAGTTTTAAAAAATCCAGTTTCCTTTTGTTTATACAAAAAATAGATTCGAAAACCCTAAACTCTATTTAAAAAAGTGCACCCATTAGTTTACTTCTTTTCTTTATGTTTTAGGGGGGTTCTTTATATTTTAGGAACTTAAGATAATAGTTACGAATAATTTTGTTTAGTCAGATTTATATATTGTGCGCTTATCGTACATTTATGTTCAAATTCTTTAAACTTTAATTGAGATTATAATGATATAATGATATTTTAACTTTGTACACTTTTCTAGGATATAAGAAAAATCGACACTAGAAAATAAATCGTTGAAACATTTTACCTTTTCGGTCGTATGCCTTTTCTCGGCAGTAAATTTCTCTTGAACAACAACAAAATACGACCGCAAAAGTTAATTGTAATTTTAATGTTCAACACAAATTTTGAAATACATAATGCAATTTTAATAATGCTTAGTAAAAATTTGTTTAAAAATTTCATTATTAAAAAATCAAATTACATGTAAAAAAATATTAAAAAAGATATGCGATTTTCTTGCAGTTTTTAGTTTTTTTTTATTATTTGAAAACTAAATAAGTCAGTCTAAAATATTAATAGATATAATAAATAAAATTATTCCAAAATTCTTCCTTACACATTTTTAAGTTCAATTTTCGGAGCTTTTCTTACTAAAAAAATAAAATTACACATATAAAAAGAAGACTCGGTTAAAAAAAATATAAAATTTAATTTTTTTTTAAAAAATTTAGAAACTTCTTATTAATTAAAAACTAAAAATGCCTACAATATAAATAGGCATCATAAATAAAATTATGTCTAAATTTTCAAGTTCAATTTTAGGAGAAAAAGTTTTGATTACTACTTACTAATTTTTGCTTGGAAAAAAAAATCATTCTGAAAAATTTAGAGCATAAGTTTTCCGATAAAAAATACTATGAGCTTTAGCAATAAGACTACGATTTGAAGGATATGTTAAAATTTTTATCTTTGTGTATTTATAATTGTAAATGCACACAGATAAAAACTTTTCTTTTTCAAACGAATTAACATTGTATCATAAAAATGGAAATAAAGTATTATTTTTTGCACAATTAACAGAAATATTCAGGGAATATTCAGAAATATTCATAAATTAAATATTCCCTTTACGTAATACGTAAGTAACAACTATTTTATTGTTAAAAATGAAATACAATGTGTGCAGTTTATACCATTGAAATATTTTGTCTATACAAATACCAAATACATAACTTTTACATACACTTTTCGCACAAATAGATTTTATAACTAGTTGAAGGCATGGAACAAACACACAAATATGAAACTTAACAATAAAACTAATATTGTACTATTTAATTCTATTTAACAAAATGGCACTTATTTCACGTAAGGCAACTGGCTGGGCATAAACGTACAATTTGTTTATATAATTATACATTTCAAATAAGTACGAAACCTAAACAAACTTAAAATAAAAATTTTTAAGCTTGGAAGTTGCATACGAAAGGAAAAAGTTGAGTCCACATTATAAAATTCTAAAAAGGAAGTTAAAAACTGTCTGCAACAAATAGAAAAATAAAAGTGCAATTTATCATATAAGAAAAATATCTGTAGTTATTTTCCACTTAGTAATACACAAAATTAATCTCGAAAAACTATTCGAGAACAGAAAATTGAAATTATTGTTTTGATAATTTACAAAACAACTATGACTCGTAAATTTTTTTTTTTAGTTAATCACATAAGGAATCATAAATTCAAAAAACTGTGATTAGGACTGGTAGACTTTAAGTTTTTTAAAACAAACAATAAAAACATTGAAAAAAGTTTTTGAATAACAAAAATTATATGACTTAAATTATTTAATAAGATTTATTAGAAAATTTTATTGGCTGACAGGCATTTGGTTAAATATTACAAATGAAATCATAATCGCCTATAAAATGCTTCTAACCCTTCACTTACCTTGTGACGCTGCCACGATAAACCGAAACCTATAAGTGTTATGTTGTGTACAATGCGCAAAATTAAAAATGGAATATCTGTATAACTTTTGATTTAAAGGTCAGATTTTTATGTAGTAAAGAGAAATCTAATTCTTGGGGCCAATTTAAATTATGTAAATTAGGGTAAACCAACCAGTGAAGGAACATTTCACATATATTGATTAAAAATAAGAATTTGAAAGTTTTTCTTTAGATTGATTGGTAACAATAGCTTACTGCCACACAACAGGAAGGTCATCTAGCAATGTTATGGATTACCTGGTCAAATAGACTCCTCTGGAAAAATTTTTGAATTTGTTATTATCTCTGCAACACCGTGTTTCTTTGAAAAAATTATAAGTTGAGTGTTTGGATTTATATGTTTGAAGTAGAATTAATTGAATTTAATAGTTTTATTTTTCTCACTGTGAAAAAGAAAATTCAAAATATAGTTATTGAAGTTACGTTTTATTTTTTTAAGCATCATAGCATAATAAAGTACTGAGATAAGGGGGCATTTATTCACTGAATCACCAAACGATGAAAAACCAGAGAAGTTACAAGCGCTCCTTTACTGGGTTTCTTTCTAAATTAATGAAAATAAAAGATAAACTTTAATTTTCTTGTACCTTTAGTGATGTTTCGCATCAAATTTATGTTAAAAATACGAAAAACAACTTCTAACCAGTGAAGGAACAGGCATGTTCCTTTACTGGGCATATATTTCCCAGTGAATGAACAGTATATGTTAATATGCTGACACTTTAATTTTCAATTGATGATTACAAAAAAAAAGTTATAAATTTATAAAGAGCATTAAAATTTAACCAAAATTAAGTGTTCCTTTACTGGGTATTCATTCACTGGTAAGAGCTGTTCCTTCACTCGGTCTTCTTGCTACTTGTTATTTGAACCTCCAAAACTTTAAAGCAATATTATGTAATTCTTTACAATTTTTTTACATAATTTGCAATTAGTAACCAATATGTTGACACTGTCATTTAACTAAAATTACGAATTTTGAAATTATTATGATTTTTTAAAAGGCAAGCGAAGCTTAAGTGTTCCTTCACTGGTTAGTTTACCCTATTATGTGCAGAAGATATTTTAAGTTTCGAAATCCAACTCAAAAATATACCTTCTTCTTCGATACTTTCGATACTTCGATACCTTCTTCTTCGTGGGATTCTAGACCCTCAAAATATTGGGGGAGTCGCTGACTGAAAAGTCCCAAGTCTGAACTGATATAAACCGAAAAGTCTTTGTCCAACTGATAATCCCAATTGTTTAGTTCAGAGCACCGTCACAAGTCTTAATACTTGTNAAACTTTGTAATTAGGGTAAACCAACCAGTGAAGGAACATTTCATATATATTGATTAAAAATAAGAATTTGAAAGTTTTTCTTTAGATTGATTGGTAACAATAGCTTACTGCCACACAACAGGAAGGTCATCTAGCAATGTTTTGGATTACCTGGTCAAATAGACTCCTCTGGAAAAATTTTTGAATTTGTTATTATCTCTGCAACACCGTGTTTCTTTGAAAAAATTATAAGTTGAGTGTTTGGATTTATATGTTTGAAGTAGAATTAATTGAATGTAATAGTTTTATTTTTCTCACTGTGAAAAAGAGAATTCAAAATATCGTTATTGAAGTTACGTTTTATTTTTTTAAAGCATCATAGCATAATAAAGTACTGAGATAAGGAGGTATTTATTCACTGGATCACCAAACGATGAAAAACCAGAGAAGGAACAAGCGTTCCTTTACTGGGTTTCTTTCTAAGTTAATGAAAATAAAAGATAAACTTTAATTTTCTTGTACCTTTAGTGATGTTTCGCATCAAACTTATGTTAAAAATATGAAAAACAAATTCTAACCAGTGAAGGAACAGGCATGTTCCTTTACTGGGCATATATTTCCCAGTGAATGAACAGTATATGTTAATATGTTGACACTTTAATTTTCAATTCATGATTACAAAAAAAAAGTTATAAATTCATAAAGAGCATTAAAAATTAACCAAAATTAAGTGTTCCTTTACTGGGTATTCATTCACTGGTAAGAGCTGTTCCTTCACTCGGTCTTCTTACTACTTGTTATTTGAACCTCCAAAACTTTAAAACAATATTATGCAATTCCTTACAATTTTTTTACATAATTTGCAATTAGTAACAAATATGTTGACACTGCCATTTAACTAAAATTCCAAATTTTGAAATTAATATGATTTTTTAAAAGGCAAGCGACGCTTAAGTGTTCCTTTACTGGTTAGTTTACCCTATTGTGTGCAGAAGATATTTTAAGTTTCGAAATCCAACTCAAAAATATACCTTCTTCTTCGATACTTTCGATACTTCGATACCTTCTTCTTCGTGGGATTCTAGACCCTCAAAATATTGGGGGAGTCGCTGATTGAAATGTCCCAAGTCTGAACTGATATAAACCGAAAAGTCTTTGTCCAACTGATAATCCCAATTGTTTAGTTCAGAGCACCGTCACAAGTCTTAATACTTGTTTTATTTCTTGCGCCTTTCGTTATGGTTCTAAAAACATTTAAGCAAATCAAACAACCCTTTAACACAATTATAAAACTCATTAATCCGATGATATTTCAATGCAAAATGCGATTACAATTATTTATTATTAAATATAATAATCGACAAAAAAATTTGAAGCTGTAAAATGTAAATATTTTTACTTCAACTACGTAATTTAACTGCCAAAATACAAAATTTACTGCAAATAATTAACAATTTCAGCTGCTGTGGTAACGAATTGCGCTCCTTAATAATAGGAATAACGCAATTAGGCTTTTAACAGAATTACTATGTCCTGAATGTACAAAGGTCTGCATCTGATTTATTTAATTTAAACTAACATCAGAACCAGCATTTAAAATAACTATTTAAAACTAATTGTTATTGAATTAATATTGGGTTTCGTCATTATCAGCCAAATACGACTTCAATTTAATTACATAGGTATTTAGGCTTATTTATCTCAGATTGAATTCCCAATAAGCTCTATTAACCTTAAAACATTACAGTTTGTTTCCTTTTTCTGTTGTTCAATGCAATAAAAACTTATGTTTATTTTAAAAAAAGGTCACAAGCTCAAAATTTTATTGGCAAGAATAACGACAATCTGAATTCATTATAATGGTAAGAAAAAGCCCCTTTAATATACATGAAATTAAAATGCTTAGTGTTAGAAGCTAAGTTAAAAATTTTACTTTAACTGATTCAAGGAAATTACAAAAACTTGTTATAAAAAGAAGAAATTTATATTTTTCTTAACAAAACTCACCGCAAGCTCACCTTGTGAGTGGTAAAACAGACCAGTACTAAACAATTCTCAACTATAATTCTATGAATGATTAAAAATTCGCAAACGATTTGATAATCGATATTTTAAAAAAATGCTAAATTATAATTATGATTAAAATATACGAACGATAGTTTTCTGACACAATACTTTATACTTAAAACCAATGTTGGCAATGGATTTGCTTGCACAAAAATGAAGGTTAAATGTTTACATGAATCTAATGACATTACTATAATGTCAATACATTTTCGGAATTCAAAAAAGCTCTTTCAATAATAAAATATTCACTATTTGAGTATTTTGTGTGTAACATTTCTTTAATTCGAAATAAAGCAAAATTTTTTTCCATTGTTAGCAGGCATTGCCAACAAACTGTGTCTTAACACCAGTCCTCTATTGTAACAAATCATCCTCAAACAAACCCCTATTTATAACAACTTCTGAACTTTAGGAAACTCGTATTAAACTGTTGCAGACAGTTTAGTAATCGAGCGCTCAACGAATGCATCTCCCGGATATCATTTCCAATTAAATATCAAGGCCAGCTTATTCCAAGCAACTGACATTTTTACACTCTTTTTTTTGCATTAAATATTCCTAAAATGAAGTAGTGTGTTAATAAGAACTATCCCTAGAAAGGCACATAGAAAAGGTGCCCGAATAACCAAGTCCCTGGCTCCGTTGCAGTTGTCTCTCTCGCAAAAGCACATATGGCCAGTATTCCCACCTTCATACATACAAACATGGTCCACCATGAAGAGATTGATTTGTAAACTTTTAGTGCACGTACGTCTGATGACTTCTTTTGCTATAAAAAGAAATATAGTATAATAAATAAAACAATTCCGATTATTTTAATAGCAAAAAACAGATAAAATGTTCAGTCCTGCAGTGAAAGCTGTTAATAACGTATTAGGTTAAACCTAAAGCTAATTTCTGTTACTAATTTGGGTTTGAAGAAAACTTTTCAACCTCTGCAAACTTAAATCTACTGCTGAAATAAAGTCACAGTTTTTTTTATTTTCAGCAAAATTTTATTAGAAAGAAAGCTAAAATTACGGTTGCTAAAAGACTTTAAATTACAATTAAAATAAAGATAAAATATTAAACAGAGACAGCAGTTAAATACATATTACATCTTTACCAAAGTTATTTCTGTAGCTAATTTGATTTTGAAAAAAAGCTATTAAATTTTGCAAACGTAAATTTACAATCTAAAGCTTCTTTGCAATTTAAACTTGTATTTACAATTTAAAGCTTATTTTTATGCAAAACATTTATCATAAAATTTAAGATGCAAAACATTATTTTGCAATTCTTCATGTACTAATTCTACGATACGTGTTGCCGTTCATAAAATTTAAGGAAGGGAACATTTAAAAAAAATTTAGATAAAATTCGTGTTGAAAAAATTATTCTTCATTAACTTGCAATGATATTTTTGAACTATCTCCAAAGAAAGAGTTTTAGTATTGTATTTAACCAATTAATGATCGCCGTCTTTTTTTTTTTTTTTTTTTTGATAGTTGAAAAGTTATTTTTTCTTAGTTTTATTTATTATTATCCTTGCGAGACTAATTTCTTCTTATTTAGTTGTAAAATGTCAAAACTTAAATAATACTCTTAATACCTTCTACTGGGCTTTTCTACACATTACATAATCTAAACTAAATTATTCAATGCTGAAATTATAAATAGGTTTCATTGAATAAATATTTCAGAATCCAAACAAGCTCTTTAATTAAAATAAAACTAAATAAATTAAGCAGAATAAAATTGTCGTAGTTTGTGTTATTTGAAATAGTCCTATTGATAAAGATGTCTAAATTCTGAAAAGTCTATTTATACAAAACATAAACAAATTCTTTCGAAGAAATTAAACAAATATTTAAAGCTCTTTCAAGGCATCGTGAGAATTTCTATTACGTCACGTTCTAGGGAACGAAGAATGCGTTAAATTAAAAGAATAAGACTTAAATAAAGAATATCAACAATAAAAAGAAAAGGATTTAAAAAAGAAATAGAGCAAACTGAATATTAGTAAAATACAAAAAAAAAATTTAAATTTTGAAAAAATAGATAATGACTAAAAACAACAAAGAAAAGATTTTCTCTGAAGACTTTCCCTAAATATTTTCGAATACAAGTTATAGCCTTGTGAAAAATAAACCTGATTCATAAAGAAAAGAAATTAAAAATGAAACGGACAAGATTTATATAAAAAATATTAAAAAAAGGAAGAAAACGAAGTATTCGAGCATATTGACTAAATGCAACAAAAAAAGTCCTTTTTATACTTTTTTTTAATATTTTCGAATGCAAAATTATAACAATGTAACAGTTCATAAAATAAACCTAATTCATGAAAAATAAATTAAAAATTAAAGCAACCTTAAAAAGTTTAAAAATTTAAACTGTCTAAGTTCAGAACTGTGGAGTCGGTAGTTGAAATATTTGACTTTGTCTCAAACTACAGACGTTTCTGAGGGACCAACTTCAACTTATAACTTGATTAAAAAAAATTACCAAATCCTTATGAAATATTAACGTTATTTCTAAGAGAACCATAATTTAAAAATATGTAGTTCAATTTATATAAGTAAAATTATAAATAAAGCAATCTGAAAAAGTTCAAAAATTTAAACAGCCTTAAATTCAGAGCTAAGAAGTAAGCAGTTGAAATGTTTAACTTCGACTCTCCCAAGTACAGACTTTTCAGATAGTCCAACTCCGTTTTATAATCTATTAAAAAAGAATTTACCGAATCCTTGAAAAGTATTAATGTTAATACTAAAGAAACGTTAATTTCAAATTATAATACTCCATTTTCATGTAAGATTAAAACTAAAGGTATTTTATTTAAAATTGCATTTTACATTATATAGTGGTTAAACAAATTTGAACAAGCATAATTGTACAAAATATTGAATTTGGGAAAGAGCATTAAAAGAAAAGATCAAGGTATCAATGTCCCACGAATATTCGCACTCATAAAACATCATATTACAAAACAATCTTTAGTTTTAGCGAATATTCATGAACTAGAAAACTATTAAAAATCACTCATCACATTCATTTGCATTACTTTCTACGGTTTTTTTAAAACAAATTTGGTAATGAAAGTCACGAATCGAAAGATAATTTATTAATAAGATTTATAACTGAATGCTTGCTTGCTTACGTATGCCTGTTAAGGCAGAGAGTTGCGATTGTTCTTGTTTTCCAGTGGCGCCATCTATGGCCAAAAATTCGACTTCTGCCACACACATACGTCACACCCGTTTATAGGGCGGACCCATTCGTGCCTCTATTCATTCATCCACGGATCGTAATTTTGACCTAAATCAGAGAACGATCAATCTCCAATTCAGTACCCCCAGAGATACTGATTTGTTATGGGAACATGGCAGACTTCGCGACTCGACAGATTTTGCGTGCATCAGTCACCATTTTTTATTCATTGCACTGAGTCCTCCTTCACTAGTGGATTAGAATTAAATATTTGCATGGCCGACAGGGCATGTCTCATAATGTTATTTTGAAACTCTGCTATGAACTAACAATCACATCTTAAGCACAGCCTTTTTCAAATCCTTATACAAAATCTAATACCCTATATTAACTAAAATAAGTATATTAACCTAATAATGTATTAACTGAATTAAGGCAGTGTACACGCATAGATAGATTTTTTTATATTATTATAAGTTTTTAACTAAATTTAAACTAATTTACAAAAAAAAATTTTAGTGAAATAAATGTTTGCATAACTATAATGAACTGTAAAAAATGTAATGAACTATAATGAACGTCCGAAATTTTCTTCATTTTTGACAAAGCACTTACTAGCGAAATTCTTAGAGAGTACATTTTTTCAAATTAAAAAAATTATTATTTTCATGGAAGTTTAATGCTACATTATGTTTAATGCTACATGCATAACATGCGAGCATAAGCATAACGTATTTCCTTACATTGGTTTATTAAATTTTTATTTCGTTAAATATATTTCTCGGTAAGTATAATTAATGTCTTTTCATGAGTAGCCACTTCCTAGCACAAATCAAAAATTCTCTAAATATAATATCCTTCTACAGATAACATTTTCTTAAAATTCGAAATACATAAAAAAGATCGTATTTTTAAAAAAAAGCATTTTGACTTTATAAAGTCTTTATTAGCTTAACGTCATTATTAGATTAACGTTTTATCTTTTCAAAGCTTGTAAAAAGAATTATAACATTAGAAATAATCAATAATTATTACTGGCTAAATCATAGATTTCTATTCGTAGGTATGTGTGTCATAACCTCTAATGGCTACTATCCATTTAAATATCAAGCAGGCACTGGTTTAAGTGACTTAGTAACACGTCTGACTATTTCAAAATCGAATATTTTGATTTGAAATATTTTTTGTTGAAAAGATAAGAATGAAAAAGAAATAAAGAAAATTAAGGATTAAATATAAATTGATTCTATTTGAAGGGTTATGTAGCATGACAAAGCAAAATAAACATATCTGATCAAACTGTTCAACGGTTCCATCCGCAAAATAAAGGGCCATTGAAGATTTTAATTTCATCTCTATTTAAGAAACGTCTTTTTTTCGCTCACAATCAAATAAGCATTTCTTTGTCTAATTATGATAAAAATAATATTTCACGCAACTATGTTGTGAAAGTTGCTTATAGTAACTAATTCTGTCTTTACATAAAAGGCATAGGCATACTTACGCGTTGCTGCGTACATGACGATCTTAACACAACAGCCTTCACATTGTTTAAGTGGAGGAAGATCATTAGGATGGGCAGTGGAATTGAAAGGGTCTTTACATCTTGCGTCTGAATTTGTGTCACACTCATAGCACCAATATGTGCTCTCTGTAATCAATAAAAAAAAAATTATGAATTTTCAAAAAATATTTTATTAAGATTTATTTATATTACCTTTCTTTCACTCTTATCAACATCACTAGTAAACACTATTTCATTTTTCTCACAATTGAATGGCTTTAAGCAATGTAATCATAAGCTCCATTTTTCTAACTGTACATAAAAATGTATTTATTATTTTAAAAAAAACAGGATTTTTATTAAAGCTAATAACATATTTCTGTTTATTATGCGTCCCACAATGGACTGATCGTAAAGACATGGTTCCCAGGAGAACACCGAAGTCAAGCATCACTGGCTGTGGTCAGTAAGCGGGTGAATGACCACTTTTATCAGCCTGCGTATGGACCGAGGATGCGCTATATCGGGCCTCTTTAAACTGTTCTACCGTGAAGTGTTCGACTTTGCGTGCAGGTTGTCGGACTACCAACGCGAGGGAGCCATCTCCTCTTCAGAGGATCAAAATTGTGATTGCATGTCTTTGGATCATCCTCGGGGATGTTTTCCCAGACAGTCACCAATAGCCCGTTGTGCAGCTCTAGTGTGACGTAAATAAATTACTTACCTACCTGTTTATGATGCTGCCATCTAGTGGAAACTCCAAAAGCTTGTTAAATACTTATTTGGAATAAAACTAGTGAACAGTTATATAGCACTGTAATTTAAGAATGTATTAATACGAGCCCTTTAATTGACAAAATTTGGCAAGAACTTACCTAGTACGGTCAAACTAAGTTCTAAACAGATTAATTCTAAGAAAAAAAGCTGTGATATTATTATCTGTTGCAACTGTTGTTACTGAAAATGTTTTGGAAGCCAAAGGATTACTAAGATTTCAACATTACTAAAAACTTTAACTTTCAACTTAAATAAGATTTTGTAACGAAATTGGTTTTGAAATTTCATGGATCCCAAAATAATTTTTATTCCCAAAATGTTAAACTTTCTACTGCACAATGAAATAGTTTAAAAAGGGTAGGAGTCGGTAGGACATGTACTAATAATTCTAAAGCTAACCTTCATCGATGTACCTTTTCTCAGCATCTAAACAAAATATCGCTGGAGTTTTTGTTTCACATTACATTCACATACACATGTTTGCACTGCGATAACTGTTAATATGTATCTTTGGTCGAAAATTTATCAAAACAATTATGAACTGAAAACTTTTAATTTTTTAAAAGCTTCATCAAAAATCTTTTATATCTCAAAAAGTATTCCTGTTTACACTGAATCATCACAACATACAACTGATGTAATCTCAAATATCCCCAAAAAGTTTCAAAGCGATATCAGTAGTAGAAAGTTGATTCTTAGAAAGGGTACATTGAAAAGGGTCAGTTTTAGCATTATTGATGTATGCCCTACCGAATTTCAAGTTGAACCAAAATGTGGTGCAAATTTGATGCAATCTTAATAAGGTGTTGAACCGAAACATGTTTTTATTCAAGCTGAACCATCGTATCATATAATAGAGTTAGAAATACGAAGTGTTTCACTTTGCACCATACTAAAGTTAAAGCCAATTCGACTTATTCAAAGAAATTTAAACTAGTATGTATGGATTTATGCAATTGCGTAATTCCAGACAGCTTTCAGAAAAAAAATAGTCCATGATGGCTCTAAATTCGTTTGAAAACGCAAAAAAAAAAGAAATACTCCTAACTTAAATTCTTAATTCCATTGTGATTCTGGATTAGACCGGTAGATGTGCCCTTAATTCCAAAAAAAATATTTTTTAGAAATTGTGCAATTTAGTAATAAGCATTATCTTTAATTGTTATCCTTAGAAATAAGTAAGCTGAAATTATAATTGCTGGTAAAGATTTTGGACATTTTTACGTGATTACAAGCTTTATATCATACTTTCATTCTATAGTTTTGTAAGTATCGAACTATCCATTTATATGCATAGTGCAGAATTTAAATTCTTACTAATTTTCTCAATTATCTTAATTAGTGATTTCCACATGATGTTCCGTTGAGCCCTAGGACTCCTTGGAAGAATTAAAGGGATTCCGAAAGGTAGGAGTTTTTATTTACTAGTAATAATTTTTAGCTTTTAATTATATTTAAATCTAATCAATAAGCCATTATATACTTAATATTTGGGTTGCCTTTATGAAATTATTTAAACTTAACTACCAATAAAAAGGAAATAGCACTTTTTTTTTAAAAAAGAAATATATATATGTATCTTTTTAATAACAATATATTGAATAAATTATGAAGAAGACATGCATTTAAAAAATTGCATTCGTATTTCCCATCTTGTTTTTTATATCAAATTATAATAACTAAATTTGCCAATAAAGAAATGCGTTTCCGTAATAACCATTTTCAATGTTTAGGCCAGTTCTTTTCAGTTTTCATTTCAAAGAAAACCATAATTCGGCTCATTTTGTTTGTTTTCAATTTAAATACGTGTGCCAAAAACAAATTTATTAGACTAGACAAAGTTCTAAGGCTTCGAATTTAACTGTAGGACATAAAATCTAATTTAAGATTATTTATAATAAAACGATAAAAAAATCATTCGTCTTATTAAATCTCAAAATAAAACACGATATAATTGTTGAATAAGTTCATAATTATCTTTTTGTATTATTTTTTTATTAAGTTGGGGTTCCGTCGAAAGAATTTTGATCATTTAGGGTTCTGAAGTCAAAAAATTGGAAACCGCTGATCTAAATAACACGATATATCCGAATATTTTTATGAAAAATGTATTCATTTATTTTATTTGGATAAGTTAATTCTAAAAACTTTAATTCTAAATAATGATTAAATTTAAATAATTATAGCTCAATTCTAAACAGAAGTTTTTGTAAATTTCCAAAATATTGTATTTTTGCTATTTAAAAAAAATTATGTTAACTGAAATCATTATTTGTGAAAAGTAATGTTTAAAAAAGATATTTTGGTTGATTTATCAAAAATTAAAAGCAATGAATTTTCATGTTAAGTTTAAAATGTAGTAAAGCCAAATAAAAAAATCCTTTTCGAAGCTTTTCAAATGTAGAGGATTTATTTTTTATCTATTATAAAATTAATCTGTATGATGAAATAGAAACCTTAAGTAAGAAACATAAACATTCAGGAAGTATTAATGCAATTCGCAAACTACAATTCTAATCCTTAAAATATACAAAACTTTCAAATAAATTTATTCAGTTTAGAATTAATGAAGCAGTTTTGAAACTAATCAAACTTATTTTAGAAAGTAGAATCAAATTTCAAAAGAGTATGCATGGCTGATTTTGAAAAGAGATGCTTTCTAACTTTCATTATGAATGTGGCAAATAGAATTGCATTAGGAAAGAGAAATGCATTATTAAATACTAGAGTATATGAGTGTATTTAATTCAACGAATGTCGTTAAAATATCCTACTTTATTTATGAAACAGAACGCATATAATTACTAAGTTGTGATGCTAAAGTAACGAATCTGAATATGGAATATCCATATGTTATCTTTAAAAGTCCTTGATTAATGTGTAAGCATAAAAACGCATTGTTAACAAGCTTGGCAGTTTTTGTTTCTCTACTTATTTAGTAACTTTTCAAATGCTTTCGAATTTACTCTTAAAGTAATCATTGATGAACGTTTTTAAACCTTATCTTAACATACGCTAACAACTCCCATAGTTTTCCCTTTCTGTAACATTTACTAAAAATCACGGTCCTATACTGTAGTTATGTATAACTATAAAAGAACGCGTTAATCTACACTGTAAAAAATTTCCTTCCAAAATTACGGTGAAATAACCGGCAGTAGTCTGTCTATACAATTAACCGAAAAGTTTTCGGGGAAGAACAAATTTTTACCTTTACGTTTTTGAAGCCGTTTACAACTAGTGCGATTAAAAAAACATGAATACAAAATTGTGCTTTTTTTTTTAATCATTTACAACTAGCATGAACTTTTTTGTGTTAAGCAGCTTTATGATGCTGTCATCTATTCCTGCGTGAGAGTTTTATAATATAACAGTTAATGGTCAAAGATTGGAGAGTGCCGGACTATGGAAACTCTTAATGCGTTGAAGGGAATGAGGGAAATATTGTGGCGTCAACGCTGGGAGCTCGAACCCCCGTTCTATCGGCTGCAATATGTACCCAGACGTAAGAAACTAAGTGGCAACATTAGGTGCGCCTAGAAGGATAAATTTCTGGTTGTTCAACCGTATTAGGTGAAAGCAGTTAATAGACGGTTTTGTCTCAGTTAACAGTTTGAATAACATCTTATGTATGGTTAATTGACTGTCTTGCTTCAGTAGGGTAAAATAACAATTAAATAAATTGTTATTTTACCATTTTCCCCCCACAATTTCTAACAGTGTACATAGTACTTTTTGGAGACAGTTTTAAAAATGCATCACAAAGATTGAAGATTATTTTTTTCAACTTAAACTATTTATGAAATTTTTTAAAGCATTAAGTTTCTTAAATTTTCTCAAGGACTTGGTAAAAACTAAAGCATTTTTCATTTTCAAGTCAGGTTTTAAAAAAAAAACTGAATTTTTGGATTAATAATAATATTTTAGCAAATGCTATTTCAAAAGGCTTCTTTACTAAAAATATTTTCATAATTTAAATTTTGAAAACTTTTTGACACTTCCCATTTTTTTCTTACATTTAAATGCTTAAAAAGGAATTGACCTATGGAAGACCGATCGGACCTATAACAATTCTTACAGATTTAAAAGAATAATAAATGAAAATAACATAATTCAATTAGAATTTTTTCCATTAGATTTTAGGTTTATTATCAATATCAAAATATTTATTAACAGTATCATTAAAGAATTGCAACTTAAGCTTCGATGAACAGTATCAGTTAACATTTTTCAATACAAATTTAGTTAAGCTTATAGTAAAGTTTAAAAATTCTGTTACTTACTTTTAATTTTCAAACAAAAAACTATGTAATGCATAAATAATACAATTTGTAATCTCAGTATAATGATCTCTATTGTAATCTCAAAATTAAAATTAATTAACTATTTAGTTGACCATTATTGTTTGTTTAAAAAAAAAACATAAAATATATTCACAATACATTGTATGTGTAAACAGCACAAAATGTGTAAATAACATGTTTATGTCTGAACTATCATTAAAATATTAAAAATGAACATTTAAAGTGGTATTATTTTCCAATAACACTTATATTCTACTTTGTAGAAACAAGATGGATATTAATAATTGAAATAAATAATCCATCTAAGAATCGATACAAGTAATCAAAAGAAATTGCGTAATTAAATTAGGAAACTTTTGATTCTAGGAGGTAAACTTTTGACAGCTTTGGATATGAAGAATTATTAAATTAAAAAACTTTAAAAAAAAATGATTATTAAAATTATTATTTAAAAATACTAAAAAAATCTTACAAAAAAGAGGGGGGATGTCGTCGTTATAATGCATTTTTTAGCTTGTGTATATACCTAAGATCTTTTTGTACTTTGACCTAGTTTTATATGTACATGCAAAAAATATAAACTTCATTTTAGTCGTGTGCATTTGCTCATTTAATAAAAACTTTTAGTCCAATGTCTATGATCTCTAGTTAAATTCATAATCATTTATTTAATTAAAATATTCTTTAAATTAAATTTATTACTTTTTATATTGCTATATTAACTGCAAATCATTTATGAAGATATTTTTATGAGAATATATTTTGCACAATATTATTTTATGTATGTTGATCAAGTTTTATTTTAATATAAAACTATTCTTTAAAAAAGAGCATATTTATGCCCCCTTATTTATTTTATGTCAAAAAATTAAACCTTTTGAACGGTTTTTTTATTCTTAAATTAAATCTTTTGTTTATTTAATGCTTTCCTTATCTTGTTGTTTTTATTTAGCAAATATCTTATTAATATTTAAATAAATTTTTAAACAATCTTCTCAGATACTAATCAGATACATTTTTTAGCATCAACTCTGGTATATAATGGAAGATTTCTACTAGTCAGAATTTTTTTATTGAAATATTAAACTAATATATTTACTATATTTTGTATTTAAACAGTTTAATAATAATAAAAAAGAACACTATTGTTTTAGTTTTGAAACTGCGCATTTAAGAATTTATTTAAGGAATAAACTCAAATAAAAATAAACTCGCAATATTTTTAAAAAAATCACATTTTGATTCATAAATAATTAATTATCATGTTTTAAAATTCTTAACTTTTTTATCCGATACTCTGAATGCATTTGCAAAGCGCATGAGAGATTTAAAAACTGTTGAGCTGTTAACATGACCGTATTAAAAACAAAATAATGATTCCATAAAAATGGTAAGTGAAACATAAGTTTTACAAAACTCATTTTTCATCGAAACATTTTTCATCAAAAATGATCCATACATTTCATTAAAAAAAATTTGCTTCAAAAAATAAATAAAAGTCAAATCTAATACACAAAATTCATTTTTTAATTATTTATTTAATAAAAGTAACCATTGTTTTTATAATTTAAAATAATAATGAAATTATTTTGCATATTTTACTTACTCATGCACTCCTCTTCTCCTTTAGAACACCAAAACACTGTACATAACACTGAAATTAAAATAACATGTAATTAATAAAATTTAATTCGAAAATGAAATCTATGTTTTTTTGTTATAAATCAGGATAAATAACAGTATCTGACTAAAGGAATTTTAAATAAATATATTGCGTGAAATTATACAACAAATTCCAAATAAAAATTAAATATCTGACACATTCTCTATTCATTTGCAATTCATTACACTATCAAAAACATTTAGAAAATTAGATATACGTGTATATTTATACGTGTTATTTCTGAGCTTACCAACATTTAACTAGAAATATAGGAGATTTTAAAGCATAAAAAGTTTTAAATTAGTTGATTATCAAAATATTTTATATGAAGTACCTTCTAAATAGATCTGATGATGGCTTAAAAATATTGTTTTACTTATGCTTAAATATAAACATTACAGAATTTTTTTAAGCTTAAAAAATTATACTTTTGGATATTTTCATTCTTAATATCTTCTCATATGAAGCGCATATTTACTATGCTGAATTCAGCCGTTTTTTATCTTATCGTATTAGTTTTAATTAGGAAATAAAATTAATTGACTTTTATTTATTTCGAAATTTATTACATGGTGTAAAAATAGAGCTTTATAATTTATTGAAATTTAATTTTACTTACTAATAGTAGTTATTTGAAGAGAGTAATTAGCTTAAATATTTTCTTAACTTATAAAAATAAAATTATTTTCTAAAAGCAAATTATAAAAACTTAAAAGCCTGTTCCATTTATAAGTTTGGTATTAAAATGCTTCTCTCTCTAAATCAAATAAACATTAAAAATTAAAGAAATATTTATCCTTTGCCATCACTTTAACTTCTACTTAAATTTGTTGTTTTTTAATATGACTTACAAACGCTATTAACGGCAACTCATTTTCACAAATCAAAAACATGAATTTTTACTATTACTGTAAATTATAAAATTATTGTAAACAAATCGAAATACTTAGTAGCTTATTTTTTTCCTTTTCAAAAGCTAACATTTACAAATCTTAATTCATTAATGTCATGAACGTAAATTTAATACAATTATTAAAAAGATGAAATAAAAAATATGTAAGTTTTAATTTAAATGCAGTAAAATATATAAAATTGTTTTTGCGTTTAAAAATGTCTGATTTTCTTTCTTAAAAAAAGGGTTATGCTCTTTAAACATTTTTACACTGTGATGTTTCGTAAATTGTTATCAGTTATTTTAATTTAAATACCGTGTGTCACAACTAAATAAAGCTACCTTTATTTTTTGATATATCTGGGCTCAGAGAAATCTACTGAAAACCAAACATGTATATCATAAAAATTATACTTTTGGATATTTTCATATTTAAAACACACATTTACAACGAGTAACCCACTCCCTGATCTACTTGGAGAAAAAAAAGGCATCGAATAAGTAAACGTTGTTGTTGTTGTTGTTGTAGTTCATTTACGTCGCACTAGAGCTGCACAATGAATAAGTAAAAAAATGCCCCATCCAAATAAAGCCACTTCTGATAATAGCCAAAATTTCTACCATATTTTTATCTGACTTAAAATCAATGATGTTGCAAACCATCCTCGGGAGGACAATAAGCATCAATATTATGTCACGTTTCAATGTTGACTGTCTTAAATTCCGCCGCAGTCCTTTTCTGTAAATGCAATCTTACTGAGGATAGCCTTCCCCTAGGATAGGTGGAGGCTTATTAATTGAATGGAAAGACTTCAGATATGGTTGTTTATTTTCAAAGAAACATTTATACTGCTTTTTTGCAATTTTTTTTTATTAATATTGCCACTCTTGAAAGTTTGATTAATGAGCTTGGTTGTGCTCCACTCAAAAATATCGCTTGTCTAAATTGATTAAGATGAACTTTATTTTTAAATATATCAATGAATCGCAAAGAATTAAAAAATATCTCAAAATTTGATCGAGGTTGAAATCACGTCTTTAATGTAAAATTATAAAACATAATAATTTATTCTGATATTTAAATTTCAATCTACTTATTTATCATCTTAATTCGATTCAAATTAAATTCAATATTTTTATCAATATTTAGCAAAAACTAACATACGTTTATTTTTTTTAAAAAAAATTAAGACATCAGAAAAGTAAATAAGAATCTGAACTTTTTTTTTTTACAAATCTCATTTTTTGGAAAAGTATCCCGAATTCCGGAGAAAATCTTGCTGCGACAGCGCATGCGGCCAAAGCGGCCGCTGCAGAGCCTACTGTGGCAAGCTGCCAAGCAGACCGAATTCAAAATCTACCCCTACTTTCTTGTTCCTTCAGCAAATGTCCTGCCCCCCTGTAATTTAAAGATTTCTTGATTTAAGCTCTAAACTAGACGAAGGGCGTTACTTTTATTTATTGCGTCCAGCTACCAGTGGTACTTTTAACTCATACCATTACTTTGGTAGAAAAATATAAATTAAACGATCGAACTCTTGTTTTATTCTTAAAACGCAGCAAACTAAAATTACCTTCCGTAAATTGGGTATCTTTATTATTTGATAACTCATTGTTCTTTTTTATTCTTCGAGGCAACATGTAAAATGCGATTCGACACAGTCCGAGGAAAAATCGAAACCACTTTTCTTCCTTTAAAACTTAGCAAACATTATATATATATATANGCTTTTAAATTTCTTATTCACTTTTAAAAGTAATAATAAATTAAATTATTATTATTATAAAATATCAAATTAAAATCTAAAGAACTCAAAACCGCTAAATAGTTTTAAAAAAATCAAAACTTTTAATAATTAGTGCATGAGTTATTGTTTAGTGATGAACCATTTATTTGTCTAATTATTACAATTTACTTGCTTTATAGGTTTTTTTTACATATAACAAAATTTCAATGAAATCTTTATGTTTGTAATGAAATGTATTAGATATGTTTTTTTTCTAAGTTTTATTTGAAGGAAAAACAGGTACCATGCATATACAAATCTTTAATGCCAGAAAAACTAATTTTGTAATCTTTTTACCATATAATTTTTAAACCAATTCCAAGCAAAAAGCATGAAAAAAAATTTTAAGGCTGAAAATATAACATAGCTAATACGAATTTCTAACTACAGACCTGAGATACAAAAACGATTTTCACATTTGGAACCGGTACAAAAAGTGTAGTGAAAATTAATCTAACAAATTTCACTTTCCAAAATTAAAGCAATAAACAAGTTTTATTTATTTTATAAATTATTTAATTTTTTTTTTCGTAAGACCGAATTTTGAACAAATTTTTAAAAACCTTTAATTTGTGTATCTACGATAATATTTGAAGTTTCAAATATTACCCATACCATTAAGTATTACCCATACTTCAAGATGAAAAAAACCCGCTGAACATTTTGCTTTCTAAGTGATCCTTTGTTTGATCAACGAAATAGACAGCTTTTTTTCTTCGCAAATAATTTTTCCACAAACAACTAAACTGTTGACTTGGTCGTTAGTTTGTCTTTGTTTGCCTATAATTTTTATTGTCAGATAAAATGTTGCAGACATTACTTCAACAAAAGCTTATTTCTTTCAACGTCTTTTTAAAGTTAAATAAATTTTACAAATAGAATGTAGAGAACTTCAGAAATAATATTTATTATTTGAAATATAACTTGGTGTTTAATTTCGTATTGAAATTTTTTAGTCGGGTAAAGCGATCATATCTTAAATGTAAAGATACACAGCATGTGAAGCTAGCTTTCAACTGCTACACCCAGTTTTTTAGCACTTTTTCCTCACCTACATTTTTTTTCTTGCATTTTCCTCCTGCATTTGTTTTTAATCACAACTTTAATGGGCAACGTTTCGAACTATTTCTTAACATTTTATTCAATAACAGCTTTAATGTAATTAGAATTAATACCATTTTTACTTTAAACTAACTAAATGGCTCTGAACATATTTGAACAAGCAAAAATGTATTAATGATAACATTTTACGTTTTAAAAAGAAAAATTAATTTTTCGGTCGTTCATGCATATTATAAATAATATCATATTATATCATCAAAAAATTTCTCTCATCATCATAGTATATTAATATCATATAGTATAAAATCGTATAGTGTAATATCATATTATAAAAACTCGTAAAATTTCTCACGACTGCTCATATTTTTGCTTAAATTATTATAAAATGCTTGAGGTTTCATACAAGTTTTCAAAATTACTTTCTTATTTAACTACATCATAACATAAATCATATTTGACATTTAGCAATTATTAGAATCCAAATCAGTTTTTCTTTAACTTAGCCAAAAAATTCGGAAAAAATTTTAGCATACAACAATATATAAATTGCCAACATTTATCATTTCGCGAAAAGAGAAAAAAAACTTTCCATTCATTCATGCGGAAATTTCATATTATAATTCATAAAACTTTTCTGCAGCATTTCATCTTATCAATATGTTATCGTCATAATAATACCAAACGTTTAATACTATTTTCCAGTTTTCCATACTGATTAACTGCATCATAGCGTCATAACATAACATGTTAAATACGATTTAAAAAGGGGCCATAGAATTAGGCCACTCACAAGCGATAATTATTTTATAATTAATTAAACTTGAATTAAGACGAATATTACCTAAACATAAGTTTGTGTTAATTTAATCTTAGATTTAACTAAAGGTTAATAATTTTTAGGCGAAAAGATAGAATTGATTTGAGTAGAAATGTAATAGCAGCTGGAACCAACACTTAAATCTCCTTCTCAATATTACCACAGATTTTTTTAAAAAATTACATTCACATTTGCCCTACAACTTTCAAATATATTTCTAGAAGATTGAATTCTCTAGGTCAAATTTTAATTTTGTCTTTAAATAATTTTTTCTATCCCATTCCATGACTCTCTTATCTCGAATCTCGACAATTTAGAGTCCTAGATAAATATGTTTTGGGAACTATTTTGTTTTGGGAACTATTTTCATCAGGGAACTATTTTTATAAAGCTAATGTGTGATCCTTAACTTGTACTATATGGAAATTCTGGT